AAATATTTCTTTAAATATATAATCGTCTAGAAAGGTAAATTCTGCTGGATCTTTCAATGCACATATGACTCATTTCAACAAGTACATCTGACTTGCAGTGGACCTATTTCTACGGGTTTATGATGGCACTAATCTAATACATATATGTACATGGAATTCATATTGTCTTGAGGTTTAATTTTCAACTCTCCATTGACCTTACTTTTCTGTTGCGTGTGTGTACTCTTAATACAATCATTTTTTCGGCATTTTGTACCCTGGATACAAGCTTCTTTTTAACCCTATCAGTATTGTATCCTCGATGGTATAGTGGTGGGTATCTCCGCCTGTCACGCGGAAGGCATGGGTTCGATTCCCGGTCGATGAGCTAACTTGTGCGTCGGTAGCACAGAGGTTAGGACGCTTGCCGACCATGCACATGGTCCGGGGTTCGATCCCCAGCCGATGCACTCATTTACCTCGCTAAGCCAGTAATAAACCTGGTAAAATGAAGGTTGAGCATGATGCTAGTAACCCATCCTATAAAAATAAACATTGCTACAGAAACTTCAAGTCTCTAGCTTTAAGCCCTATGTTCCAAGGGAAACGTGAAGGAGTAAAAAAATAAATGTATTGTATCCATGACGAAATAAAGGTGAAGAAATTTTTCAGAAAGTATTAATACTGGTTAAATATCCATTGACTGTATAGTATCAAATGAAGATCATGACTAATATTTATTTTCGATATTCCATTCGATCTTAATCAGCATACTTATATTTCCTGGCATAATATTTGATCATTGTATATAGGAAATGCATCCAAATATATTATTGCTTCTTTTTATTTTCATTGAGTACCTTCTTTTGTTCAAATTATCTACTTAAGATTGATTGATTGATTTTTTATTTAGATGAAACGGTAGAAAATAAGTCATTCTGACGGTTACATTCATCAGTGTTTCAATGTTATTTCACTGATAACCATTATAAAAGTGTTCTGTAGTTTGATGTGAAATAAGGTTGAAGGGATCTAAATATGATTTGTCTGAGTTTTTTGTTGCCCAGTCCTCTTGAAACAGTCATTCTGAGTAGTTGACTTACTTCATAATATCTGACACCAAATGACAGCCTAATAACAATATTTTTGATGAAGAAATCGGAATTGTTTTGATGTATGTTTCCTTACCACTAGCATTCTGGCAGAGAATTTCAAAGTATATTACGATACTCGATTGTTATTTCTGTTAGCATAAGTAAAATTTATGTACTTATTCAATTCATTAGTATCACAATGTAAATGAAGCATAAGAAAACTGTCACCTTGTTAATATGTCTGGTCACCGAAGGTCATAGCATGCACTATAAGCACACAAAAAATCTGCCTTTTGGTGACGTAAACGATTACACTGCTTTTAACCTAAACAGCCTAATAAAGCACGACTTTTGCAAGCCAGAGTATGAAAAACAAAGGAAATAAAATAAACAAATTGAATTTTTATCTATTATGATTATAGGTAGGCGCCGGAATAAAATGTCATAATAGTCACACTCACACAATGTTGGTGAATGCTACACATGTATGGTTCGTTGGTAAAAGCGTATCGTATATATATTTCAAGTGATATCTGCCAAAAATGTCATTTACTACATTTATACTGAAAATCTGAATATACCATTATGACCAATACGCTTTAATTGTTTTCAGGCTAAGCAAAGTTACTATGAGGCGGTGTATCCCATTGGTCAGCACAATATAACAAGTATCACAACATACAACGCCGACAACGTCATAGTACATAACAGTGTTCAGGCTGAGATAAACAAACTTAATGTTAAGAGTAATTGGTGTGTATTTTGAATAATGACTGTGTAACTGTTGTTTTCAGCATAAGCTGGAAGGGCGTGGGAAATAAAATAAAAAATTTTTTTCACCTTCATGTAAACTCCCAGAAACTTTCAGAAACTTATAGTTATCTCGTTAATCTAAGCAGGTTACAGGATTTCATCATGAACTGACGTTGGTTAGAGAACCATTGGAAAACCTGGGAGTACTGGACAGCTGTTTCGCACTACCAGTACTCCCAGGTTTTCCAGTGGTTCTCTAACCAATGTCAGTTCGTGATGAAATCCTGTAACCAACCAAATCCCTACAAACCAACACTTAAAAATCTATGCAGGTGTTAAAAAGCAGATAAGGAATGGTTCTAGACATCACAGTCGTACTCTTCTAGTAAGTAAATCCATAGTCAGAAGCCACTCTTCACTTTCCACTGCTCACTTGAGGGTAGTCAATGAGCTTTTAAAAACAAAAAACTACGAACACATCAAATTAGCAGTCTATATCCAGCAATGTTCTACTGACTGATCAGTTAATCTAAATATCTGACAATCGAATATTTAATTTCTTTAACGGATTCTCCAATTAAAAGGCTAAGGGCTAATTAACTACGTAATCATTTATGTTCCACCTGTTAATCCATTTCACAGCACATGACACAGCTTTTATGAGTAGGCTATGGATATTCCCCTTCAGAGTCATTTATGTCATCACTGTTCTTACTGGAAGGTGAAGTGTTTTTAGTTACTCTTGCTATGATTAAACAGTGAGTATCTTAACACCCGTTCATTGTACATCCAATCTATGTACGATGCAAGTAGGCCTAGGCGTAATCCTACTTTCCACGTTCATCATAAGCAGAAGTAAATCACGCCTGAAAAATGAATCCTGTCTTGGTATCAGATGGTAACAATGTATGACAACTTTACCACTAAAATAGTAACCCAAGTGTAGTCATAATGATACTGATTGAAGTTAATATGACACTTGTGTGTAAAAATGAGTGTTTGAAAATGTTGTTTTCAGATGTTTTCAGGTGTTATTTAAAAAGTTAGAACTCCTAAGCAATGAAAAATACAAAGCGTTCAGTAGATAAGTAAATTATCATTAGGCCAGTAACAATTATCCGGAAAGAATAATAAATTCTTACGAATGTTGACTTTAAAACTTTGAATGACAAAAATACACCTCCAAAGCAGTAAATGTACATGATCTGAAAAAAGCCCAACAGAATGAAACGTTAAGCAAGCCTGTATTGATTTTTTAAAGAAATTAAATACACTTTAGGTACTGAATTTGTGGAGATATGATTGATTTTAGGACATAAATCAAATGAACATCAACCAGGTGAATATTGGGATTCGAATATCTCTAAGGTACTAGATTTATAAGGGCGTAAAGCCGCAGATAGCTAACTTTATATGCCTCATAGATTTAGTTGTGTCATATGACTTAAAATGACAGGCTTCAACGGTTATTGAGCATGTGCCGTAGAAATATATAATTAGACCAGTTAACTGCATAGGCGTAGACCAGTTACAACATGAATGCAAACAATAACAGCACTTTTTCATGTTAAGCACAAATTACAATGTCTTCTCACAAACAATTGTTTGTTTTATTTTTCAACTAATGCCACTCAAACAATACACTTTCGCTAAGAATAAAAGAATAGAAAAAGCACACATACACACAGACAATCATAAAGCTCACAACTCAATTTTCTAGTGTATGAAATTTAGGGGATTTTTTCTACCCACAAGAAGAATAGTGAGATGTTATGCGTCAGAGAAGGGAGTTGTGCTTTATTTACCCGTCCACCACCCCTCTAACTTTCTGATTGAAGAATACTTTAAACACAAGCTATCTGCCCCCTAGACGTGATATTTTTAAAGGTGGTCACACAACAGTGTGACAAAGAAAGAGAGGGATTGGGTGGGGGTTGCATAACATGTTTCAGTGAAATTCGCCAAACAGAAAGAAAAATAATAATAACAATACCAAGCAAAGATATAAAAGGCGTTGCATACGCTTGAGTAGAAGAAAAACACCCATTAAAAGTAATCAATCGTGCGTAAAACAAAATGAGAGAATAAGGGCAAAGGTCATTTACGTTTGACTGAAGAGTATTCACAGGAGCGTAAAAAGTAATAAATGTTTATGCACATGTTTACGAAAGCTTTAGGAAAACACGACTCATGAACTTCAAGGTACAAAGAGCACAGATTGTAAAAATCATTGATATGACTATAAACAAATACTAAAATTTAATACTTTTATTCAAGCGTTGGTTTGTAGGGATTTGATTGGTTTCAGGATTTCATCATGAGCTGACAGTAGTTAGAGAACCATTGGAAAACCTGGAGTACTGGATAGCTGTTTCGTCCTAGCTCGCCTTGTAACCGGAAGGTCCTGGATTCGAATCCCGGTGGGTGCGTACTGATGAAGAGTCCCAAACTAGGACGAAACAGTTGTCCAGTACTCCCAGGTTTTCCAATGGTTCTCTAACTAATGTCAGCTCATGATGAAATCGCGAAATCCTTAATACTTTTATATTTCAGTTTAGATGCGATGTTGTGGTGACTGAAAAACGCATGTAAAACCTACTATGGTTGGCCTGTTCGACAGCAAAAGTTCAAGGTGGAGATTGCAGTGCAGGTTAGCATCAGTTAGCGAACACAGTGCAATCAGAGGAGCAACAGTTCTTTAATCGATCCTGATTTGTGACGAAATTTACGTTGAAAAAACCTAAGCAAGCATTACATAGGAATGTAGGAATCCTGACAACGGTATATAAATCTCATATTTCACTGCAAACTCAGTGAATGGAGGTAAAAAAAAAACAACAACAGCGGTGTCTATCTGAGGAAGGGCAGTAAATCTAAAGCGGAAATGTTCGGTGTAGGGAAACAGGAGAAACAGACTGGTTTGATGAACCCATTTGCATTGATACGATTGCCAGTCTTTACAAAACAGGAATTGCACGACTGCATTATGATCTCCACATATTCGTATCACACCACAATATAATTGATAAATCCATATTCAGTGAATGCCCTATGACACAAACTCTAGTGATTTCATGATAAAGGAACAAGAAAACTCTTCGTCAGCAAGTAATGATTATTCAAATGGTGAAATGAGTATATAAAAAGTGAATTTTGACCAGATATGGGACTTACCGCATATGGTTGCCTAGGAGGTGAAAGAGAATTATGCTCACATCCACAGTTACTTCTGGAATTGCACAGTTCTGTCTCCCGAAGTGCATCTAGTGTTTGTCCAGCTGCTGCCGGTGTTGCTGTTAATGTCGAGTCGTTTGGTACCTCATTGAAACTTGATAAGGCACTTGTCTGTGTGCTCATCTGATCGACCCCAGTAGGTGAACAGGGAGAGAAATTTAGACATGAAGATGTTCCCATCAGATGTGACTGTCCACTGTATGCCGGATGACGTATGAAGGTGCCTGCTTCTGGAATGAAAGTAGGGGTCATTCGATTCACTGGTGCATATACGGGCATATGCAGTGTATTCATTGGATTCGACAAGTTTTGATCCATAGGCAAAGAGCAGAAGGAATGACTTATGCTATTATTTATATTCCCAGATCCTGAATGAGCCGGATAGTAAACTGCAGGTGGGGAGTTAGGGTTGTTCCAACCATACGGATGCATATCAGACCCCGGGTGCAAACTGTCTAGATATGTACCTCCATTGGGTTGATAACCTAACTTTAAAGCGTCCAAGTCGGAGGGGGTTGGACTGATACTCATCATATAGCCAGTGCCATCTAACGCGTGACTGTATTCGTGTTTGAGTGGGAACATTGACCCTTCAGCTCCATCACCGGCACTTCTACCTCTTCGAAAACCATTAGAATCTGCGTGAGTTTGAGGCCGACTCCACCGTAAAGAAGACCGTCGACGAACACAAATTATAGCGACTACAAGTGAAACTGAAATTAGCCCCGTTATCGCTATCATAACTATAATAATCATGAAGTTCAAACCGGCATTTGTGATTGAATCTGAGCCAAAAACATTGACCTGGAGAAGGAAAATGGAATACAAGTTGAACGTGAATGTCAGGAGTTAAATGTGAAAAGATATAAAATTGTTCTAGATGAGAGGTAGGAGTAAGATACATTGTGAAATAAATCCGATTAATATAAAGGCCATCTAAGTTTAAATGAAACCTCTATTTAATTATGGTAAGCACTGTTAAGTATTGTTATATAAGTATATTTGACATAACACATAATGATCTAGTATTACTGACTGGATGAACTTAATAGTATAATCATGTCTTTTAAGGAGCTATAGTCTACCACCTTGCCAAAGTTGTACTCTTATATAGTTGAATAATGTATCATAACATTCGTTAGGAATGTAAATAGTAATGGTCACCAATATTGTGACAGTTTAAGGCGCTAATAAAGACAGTTGACACCATTTATTTGGATTTCTGATGTTTATAAGCAAAGACTATTTACAAGTGAAACTTCATTAAAGCAATCCAAACTTCATCAAACTCAGAGACATTAATCGTCAGAGTCCAGAAACAATGGAAGCGCAATTTAGAGGATTCCTTATGTTACTTTAATTACTAGTGTGAGTATCGGCGTAACTACTATCCTCAGTTCTAATGTCACCATCACCACCTTCATTACCTGGAGCACCTCTATCTCGAGGATCACTAAAACTATACATCCGTGAATGTATACTTCATTGATATTCACTTTTATTATACTGTCACGTTTTCACTTATCTAAATAAATCGGTGGTTAAATAAATACGTCAATGAAAACTTACGACAAAATATTTAAAATTTCCATTATATATATATATATATATATATATATATATATATATATATATATATAATGTCTTATTTCGTGTATTAATTTACGTCAGTTAAAATAAACACAAATGAATGTGATGACTACCTAAGACCTTCTAATCATATACAAGTAGTGCTTTTTACCCAGTAGAATATATGCAGGTGAAAAAACACCGCATGTATAACCAGATAACTGCACAGATGAATCATTTAAATACTTCACTATACATACACCTTCAAGTAGGTAAGACTACTGGTGAACGTGGTACATATGGGAATCATATATTACGTCTAGCCGAGTAATGGAAAACGAAATAAATCCAGTAAAAATTCATGATACCAGTCACATTTTTTTAGTTAATAGAAGAACATTACATTTTTCTGCAGTCACATACATTTTCCCCTACCTGAGGGAAAACCAGATAAATATTTGATTGTGAGACTATCTGGGATAGTACTGGTTGACCATTTAATGAAAATGAAAGTAACAGTTGGGTCGTCACACAATTCAAATCACCAGTCTTCGAACAATCGTCGAGTGTTGGTTTGCAGAGATTCGATAAGTTACCGGTTTGAGATGATGACCTGACATTAGGAAACCAGGTTTGTGAGCTCTTCTTGAAACCGAAAAGCCCTAGATGCGAGTCCCAGTGAGTGCGTACTGCTGAAAAGTCCTGGGTTATCACGAAACGACTATCTAATACACCCTGAGCTCTAGCAACTAAGCTATGGGACCTAGGCCATTATTTCACTGCAGTCACAATGTTCAATGCCCAGATGTCATGTGAATGAATCCTGAAATTCAAACCGAGTACACTGAGGATGAAATCGGCCTTGAACAAGCGAAACAGGCCTCAGATGTTTAGATTGCTTTCTTCTGACCAGCGAGTACTATTGGTTAATGGCGTCCGACTACTCATATCTACCAATCAATAGTATATGCCATGTTTCAGTATTGATGGACACATGTCGTGACATACGTTTTCACAGGGAAACTGTGGTGAAGTTTTCTCTCTAACAGTGTAATTTGCAGATTGGAATTTGGTCTTAGGCCTTCAAATGTCGACTGTAATCATGCTAAACTCGAATCCTCGGCGACCTAGATTCTCACTTAACCTTCGATCACTGCCAGCAACATCTATATTCACCAACAACACTGCAGGACGATTGAACCGTTTTAAAAGTTCAGTCTACTGTTGAGTTGAGCACTTAAAAGTTGAAGGAAGCTAACGGTAATTTAAGGGTTCAGTCCGTGTGAAAAGTGGTTTGTCTGCCAATTCATGTTAGTACGTACGAACGAAGTGTAAAAATGACATGGTGACAGGCTGCTGCATCTTGTATTCATAACTTTTTCATGCAGGAAAATTACAAAAAACTAAGATGAAGATTTTCACTCTTGTTATTAGACTTTCACATAAAATAGTCATAACATAGAAGCATTTACGAGAAAGAGGGACATAAAAACAGATTACTCTCACCTGAAGCCATGTTTCCGTAGCTTGTTCTGGATGTCCCATATCTGAGGCACGTAGACGTAGTCTATAAACACCAGGAAGTAGTGGAGTAGGCTGGATTGTATCGTCTGGTGCGTAACTAGCCTCTCCGTTCGACATTGCTTCATTCATATGATCATTCACCACAGATATTTCTCCAGTAACATTATCAATCTAATAATATATATTTAATAGTGTAAATTAGTAAAAGAAAGATTAGTTATAGTCTGAATGAATGAAATTTGTTTACCGACGTTTTAAAATACTTTTGACGAAAGTCCAAGACAAAAGCAGACTAGTGCGCATATTTACGTCTAGCTTGGACACTAAAATCTATTATATGGACCCAATATATATTAGATAATCGTGGACTCAGAGAAGCAGGAAGTATATGTCCGAGATTTTAAGCTACAAGACTGAATTATCAACTTAACTGATAACAGTCAAAGTCATCAGGAAAGACCTCTGTTTCATGCATACATAATTCTGAAAAGTTACTTCATTTTGAAGCTGCCATTCATGATGTTGTCAAGGGGAGCTTCTCGATTAAACCATCCAACTGAATCAACCAAAACGACACAAAACATCTTTTCTTAGCTGAGCCCTCTTTAATCAGCAGTTAAGCCTGCATACGATTCATAACGTCACTCCACACAAAGTAAGCCATAATAAATAAATAAATAATATAAAATAGAAATTATACAAGATGTTCAGCAGCATATTCGTCACGCAAGCAAAGGGTTTCCTCTATAGTTGTAAAAAATTATAACTCATGTGGTTAATACAGTGGGTATCCAAAGTCATGCAGTTATTTAACCACGAAAATGTATGTGTTTGTGTGTAGGTGGGTAGGAAGACGTATTAGTTTTGCTATTCAGGGAGGTAGTTCCCTGGGGTTCTGGTGGGAAGTCGTGACCAGTAGGGTGCAGCAGGTCGGGTGTGAGGACAAATACTCGCCGAAGACATTGGATAGGGATCACACTATGTCTTGAATTGACAGAAGTTGGAATTCATGGGCTGGCCATTGGATCGGGTCCCAGTGGCTTAATAGTCTACGAGCTAGCTCGCCTTGTAACCAGGAGGTCCTGGGTTCGAACACCGGTGGGTGCGTATTGAAGAGCCCCAAACTAGGACGAAACAGCTGACCAGTACTCCCATGTTTTCCAGTGGTTCTCTAACTAATGTCAGCTCATAATGAAATCCTGTAAAATATTTTTATTTCTTAGGCAAATATTTGTACTGCATAGTGCTCTACAAACTCGGGGTTGTATCTTAAAAGAATATATTTTAACAAATTCCAGGTAGGTTGAATGTGGATCTTCTACCATTATTTGATTTCCTCACCTGTGTATACTACCACCTCAAAACGGTTCCCTGTACACTGTATAGAAAAATAGTTTACGCTTCCCTTAAATATATTATTCGGTGTAAGCGAACTGTACCAGTCAAGCATAAGCGATAGGGATTCATTTGAATAAGCCAAATCTGTGTGTTCAAAAGAGATGTGTTCAGACCCTTTCTTTAACTTGGCCATCCATATAATGTGTATAGAGAATTACAAATGATTTTTCTCTTATCCTTGTAATTATAACTAGATATTGATATTTTATAATTTTTACTATTTTAGCTAACTCATTCAGCTTGTCTGTGTCCTGGTCACCTTACTTAATCCATTCATCTATTTTTCTAAGCCATCATTATTTTTCAAACTGTCGATTACGTAACAACTTGTTGCTAACCAATTCAAACCAACTGATCTTGAGTTCCGTAATTGCTTTCACCTCCTCAAAATTTTTATGTCTTATCGATTAACAATTTGTTGCTTGGCTTTATGTAACCAATTAATTTTCACACTTCCTATGCCTCAAAACTGATAATTCTTATTCACTAAAATCACCATATGACTTGAATAATTTTAATGGAAAACACTATATTAGTGTAGGCCAGTCGGTGAGGCAATAATTAAAAAGGAATATATTTGTTCGCTCAATCTTTTGTTTGTACAAATCGGGATTTCTAAATAATCTCAATAAAAGAAACTTAATACTCCATTTAAATTAATCTTCTAGATTTTGATAGATAATTTAAGAGATGTTTTGTTCCTGAAAAGGCACAGATCACAGCCTAACAGCATTTACACCATCTTACCTGAAATACAGTCCGTCTGTGTGGATCAATTAGTGAGTAAACAACTCGTCCATTCTCTCCAGCATCTGGATCCATAGCCAGTATACGAGCTACTACACGCCCTGGGGGTAAATCAGAAGTGATGTTGACCTCTTTATCACGGGCATGAGGATAATGCCATTCTGGTTTATTATCGTTCTCATCCAAAACCGTGACAGTAACATTCAATTCTGTACATAGCGGATTAAGCGGTGCAGAATCACAGGCGACAACTTCCAATGTGTATGCACTTGTATGCTCACGATCCAAGATTTCCATTGACCTGATCCGACCTTCAGAATCAACTTCAAATATATCTGGTGACGGCATACCGGTTGCACTGATCAGTATACGGCGAAGGCTGTATCGAACCTAATATCATAGATGACAAAGCAAACGTGAATTAAATATAATTTACAAGTGATATTCAGAATTCCTGCTTGTTGTGAATGACTAATTCAAGTATATTACATTTAAAATATTTTATAAAGATTTGATTCTGCTCATTGAACATTCATATTTCGCACATTTTTATTATTATTATTTTATTTATTTTGATTACAGCTTGATGCCACACCGTATTTTCAGTACAAGTATGGAATTTTCAGCATGTGATATCGGTAGCCCGATTATGCTGGCCGACCATAGATATCGGGTGTGCGTCGGCAGGGGCTCGAACCCCGGACCATGTGCATGGTCGGCGAAAGTCCTAACCACCGTGCCACCGATGCACATGATTTCTCAGACCTCAGGAATTCACAAACTTTTCCTTCCTGTTGATTTAGGTGTGCATGCGTAAATTCACTTTTACCAAATCCCCGAAGACTTCCTTAAACACTGGGAAATTTGAAAAGATTACCACCCTTCAGTAATTTCAGCTCCACGGGTCTGTGGGCCACATTTTTAGACTCCGGATACCAAACAAGTTATGCTACCAGTTTAAGATAGCTTCTTTTCTAACTTCTTTATTTTTAAGTTGTTCTGTCTGTTGAATTTTTGAACGACTTAATCTTGCTTGACGGGCACTTGCTTGTTAATAGACCCCGTATTGACAATGTAGTAATGCCTATAAGGAATTACCACAGTTCAGCCTCATATTAGGTGGATACATGTATGAGTTGTCATTCAGCAGTAACTCAGAAATTATGCGCATGCTATGAATGATTAGTATGGTGAAGATGATTCACAAGCTGGGATGTCTACTAACATTTTGAGCTTTTCATGAAGTGAATCTTGTTTAAATGAATTGGATTTCTATTTTTTAGTGTTTCATAACACTGTAGAAATATTTGATACATCAATGTGACTAGCAGAAATCAGACTAAAGCCCATAAAAGTATAGTTTTATGATCAAGGTAAGTAAAATTATTCGGTGTTTATGGTGATGGATATTTAATTAGTAGGTAAGCTGTCATTAAAATTGTCTGATTTTATGGTGAACTGAAAGGGAAATAATTTGAACAGGTAGTACTATAGTACCCAATAATAATAATATCAGCCTCCAGGCTGCATAATACATCACTTAGAGTCACATTAGGCAGTAAGAAATAAATTATTACCACTATCTTATCCCTGGAATAACCATAAAGAGAACCACTGTTTGCAAGGTTCAACAAACACCTCCAACTTATATATGATATCAGATAGGCATAAACTAATGATCATCTGATGGAGTTCTGGGTCACTAACTTAACCATCTGACTTTCAACCAAAGAGAACGTGGTTTGAGTCCTGAGTCTCCTACTTCAGCCTGTGTGGCTGGGTAGTATAGTTAGTCCTAACAGAGTGAGTGTAGCTCATATCCTACATACATGGAGAATCTGATCCGGGCAACTGATTTCAAACACCATCTCCTCATAGTGAGTACGTTCAAAAAGTTCCGTAGATAGTAAAATATGGGGATATCATTATGGATTAATACTCCTATTACTACAGCTATTGATATTAGGAAGAAAATCTCGTGTTTATAACGATATCCTATTTCACTTAAACAGAAGAGACTAGTGATTGGGTCAACCGAAAAGAAAAATACAGACTAGTTGCTATGCCGTAGACTCTGCGATTACAAACAAACGAACAGCCGTTTATGAATATATATATATATATATATATATATATATATATATATATATATAAAGGTAATGGAAATAAATGAAGGTTGACAGTACGCAAGAAGGAAATGGTTTGAAAAATAGAGCATAGATGCAACAACTGTTAAACCAACAGGAGAAAAAAATATTCAGCAACACAGAGCTCAGCAGGCAAAAGAAAAAATATGCGTGATGAGAACATAATCTACAACAGAAGGGTGGATGGGGGCATATTTCTGTGAGGGTCATAAAACAGATAGATAGGCAGACAGATATAACTGACAGACAATTAAAGTATAGCAAAACACAGAGTCTTTTATGTATGCATAGGTGTGTCACAAAAACTTACCCAAGCATACTGAGGTAGACAGAGAGACGGTTGACAGAACTAGTAATTATGTATGAATAAACCACTAAGAGTGAATACGAATCTTTAAGCAGACGGAGACGAAAATATATCCAACTTAAGAGAGAATTAAAAGAATGGGTCAAAAGGTCATCCTCTTTATAAAAAATATGGCTATCTACTCATTTATTGATAAGACAGACAGATAAGAAGAAATACAAGATGGTCAAATCTGTTTGACGAAGTTACAGTTGTTTTAAGATAAGCGATAACATTAGTGTCGACGATGACGATGCGGTTATCGTGAATAAATTAGCCTATACACAATCTTTTGAATTCACAGAAATAAAGAAAATAGCTTCATTTGCATAATACAACATACGATTTCTTACTGGATTGACGTGTGTTCAATTATACAGCACCATAGTATTGTATATTCATTTGCATATATAATGATGTGTTAACAATGTTTGCTATGAACAAAGTGTGTTGTAGTAAAAATAAAATTATTATACAGACAAAAAAACGTTGGCGAAATCAACAACTAACAATAACAATTATCACAACCATCAAAGGTATTACTTGTTGCTCAGTCGATAATGCAAATGCAACAGGCAGTGGAAAGCCTAGATTTTAATAAATTGACATTGAAAATCTACGCTAATGATTTCACCCCTGTTTAAAGACAATTTCAATATGCACAGGTATGAAGAGAACGACTGATAGACTTTTAGCTTATTCCGATGTGAATGATATAATGCAGAAGTGAATATTCACAAATAATTTTGTGATGAAAGACCTATTTCCTAATATAAAGTAACCAATAAAAATTGTGCATAGACTACGATGTCCAAATATTTGTTTATCAAGAATAAGGTAGTTGAATCAGTAGATCTACAATCAAAAGCTTAGCTTCGCTATAGATTACACGGATGAATACAAATTTACCTATTTCATTGACAAGTTTGTACGTTTACCTGTTCAAAAAACACTTGTAGTAGACGGGTGAATAGTGAATAATTCGTGTTACCCTATAACTCCAAAGGAAGTACTTCTTTGAAGCCAGTTTTTGTTACTCTTTAACTATCATAACGTAAACTTTCCTAATTTTTTATGCTTCTACTTTCATCTGTAAAGCCTTCAGCATCAATCTAGATAAAATCCACAATGTGAAAACACAAGGCTGTACTCAGTGGCTACAAAATTTATTTTGGTGTTAGTGTGTATTTGTCACTGTAATCTGTTTACGATTCTCTTCTACTCTACTAAAACTATGTTTGTAATTAGTTATCGCGTTGATTACTTTTGATCCCACAAAATTATCTATCATGACTACACAAGTAGTTAATCATCTATTCTGGTGTACTCGTTTAATATTTTTTTATTGTGAAAACAGTTTAAACCTTATTCAGTCCACTTATTGTGTTCACTACTTGGATTGTGGATTGAAAATAATATGTAAATAAAACAAAAACAAAAGAGAGTTAAAACAATGGAAAATAACTGAACATACTTGAATAAACAGAACATAAATAGTCACCTAAGAAATTGTCATCTCTCCTACTCCAGATATGTCACTATGGGAAAATCTAGAGCTCCACTGCCACTGTATGTCACCGCAGTGTCTGGTTAGTTTAGCTTGCAGTAACATACGCTAACTCAGAATAATTTTTATTTATTTTGGATTTTCCTCCTCAAATTCAATTCAAAAAGACAGTGTTTCATGTATACATCGTTGTCCATGTACCCAACAACTGTTATCATCTTCATATCAAATAAGGATACTATCTCCATAGGTTTCCAGACCGTATGTGTTACGAACTTCCTGGAATAATTTGAGCACCGAGTCATAAGCTGTGGCTTACACAACAAAACGTTCAGAGAAATCTTGTTTTGATTTTCTTAACACGCTGCGATTAATTTAAATAATTTATAATGGATACTATCTTCAGTTTCATCTGTGCTAATGAGACTTATCTCCCTTAAGTTTCACTTTCATCATTTTATCAAAATGAGGTTGTATAGATGTCGAGCATGAAATTGCCGAAAAGATACGCCTACTGAACTTCTTCTTTTCTTTTTAATGTCCTGATAGGTATTTTCCACGACTTTGATACAACTACCACTTTTAAAGCCTACGACATACGCGTATAGAATGTATAGTTCCCAGTCCGTTCAATGCATTTCAGTTAAAATGGATGACCAGAAAGTTTAACTGGTGGATGGTGGCTAGCAGTGGAATCCAGGATAACGCGCATTTCGTCCTATTTGGGACTCATCATCTGGATGTACCTGCATTTCTCAGTGAGTGATGATGTTCCCACCGAGGCTCGAACCCAATGCCCATAGTTTCAAACACCAAAGCGTTATCCACTAGAACACTTGGGCCACGAGAGCCACCTCTTGTGCAACGGGTCATATTGATTTAATTTTTGTTTAAAATTGTTGATTTAAGCTAAACCAGTTTCGAGTAAATTGATTTGGAATTCGATGACATTACCCCAACTTGCTCAATCATCACTACCTAATCAGTCATCCCAGTAAGTTATTTTAACTAGTCCTTGAACTCTTATCACAAAGGTACATGAGAATAAAAGAATTTTTTGTTATTTTTTTTACAGTAACTTAATCAGACTGAGTTAAGCTCACGGTTTGAAATGTTCAAAATTAATCAATAATTTACAGGGTCAACTTCACGTATATTATCATTCCGATCCGAAAATATTAACAAGGAGAATGTAGATTATTCAAAAGTTCGTTCACTCAACCAGTGGTTCGCAAAAGTAGGAAAACCAATGTTTTTGTTAAAACGAATAGGCTGTTTTTTTCGCTTTGGTTGCCGTAGTGACATTTATTTTGGTCTACAAAAAAAGTAATAAAGTTTACTTAAACGATAAAAGCTAACTATGCTACACCGAAATTAATTTTGATTTATG